CAGGAGAACTCCAGCAAAGGTTTCAGTCTGGGCCCTTCCTGGAAGGAGGGCATCATGTCGCTCGCAGGGCCGCGAATGGAAGAAAAACAACGGCATACACAGAACTTCACTTCTCTGAATTCCGCGCGGCTTTCTTGGATCGGCGCTGGGTCCCCCCTGGCGGCGCTTCCAGCGCTGCCCCTGGCGCGCTCCGCGCGGCATGGAGAGGTGGCCCCAGCGCCGATCGAACACATTCGCGCGGACCTCCGCGACACTATGCTCATTCGGTTTTTTGGCCCCTCTGGCGACAGGGCGGCCCCGCCTGCCTCGCGGGGGGTTCGTGGTCTTCTCCACTCGGCTACACGTAGGAGTGACCCTTCCAGAGTGACCTTTGTCGGAAACTGGAATATATACACTACCAGTGGCGGGCTTTTTTCTAAATCCCAGGACTTCTTGAGCGTCGAGGACGACGCTGGGGTAGTGTGGTGTATACTGTTTTCCCGATGTCCCGGGGAAACAACGAACATGTATACACCAGGGTCCCGTATACACCAGGATTCGCTCTCTAGTGCAAATTCCAATGCAGGGCCGGAACAAGCGTCGGTGTACAGAGTTCGATTCCCTTTTTTGGTTCGGACCCACTGTGGTCCCCCGACCGTTGACTGCGATCCGATAGCAGCCGCTTGCGCGCTTCGGTTTGGCCCACCACCGCGCCCCCACAAGGCCGCGCACCAAAGGTCACTCTTGCCTGGGGTCACGCTTGCGTGAAGCCGAGCGGCCCGGGGCTGAGGGGGGCGTGCTCTTCTCAAGGGGAGGGGGGCCGCGTCAAAGTCCCAAGCATGGCGTTCTGGTACGTTTCAGGAACAGTCAGGGTGATCCGTGGCGCTGGAATCCCGAGAACGATGCTTTGGCATGCATCAGGGTATTCAAACGGTTGTCTTCCAACTAAGCAGTTCCCTCAATGGAAATGAACCCTTGTAGGGGCACTATGAAGAGGAGCTTGGAGGGAGGGTTCATTCAACATCGTTAATTCCTCTTGGGTTTACACTGGTCCTCCTCCTCCTCCCCCTCCTCCTCCTCCCCCTCCTCCTTCCCCTCCTCATGAATACATTCTCCTTGTTGGAAGGGTGGGCTGGGCGTTTCGCCTGAGACTGGCTTCATTACCATATATGAGCCTTAAGCTTGAAAGTTGGCAACAGGTTCAATGAGGAAGGGCGGGCCGCTTCCAAAATGTGGCTCTCGCCTCAGCGCCGCGCACACCCGTTTCAAGCATTTGCAAGAGCTTCACGGATGGAGGGGCGGGGCGTTTTCAAAATGGGGTTGTTGCCCTAGCGCCGCGCACATTCGTTTCAACAGATTGCAAGAGTTCACGGATTGAGGGGGGGTCCTTGTCAAAATGTTGTTCTCGCTTGAGCGCCGCGCACATTCGTTTTAACACATTGCATAAGTTTCGCGGATTGAGGGCAGTTCTTCTCAAACTGTGGTTCTCTTTTTAGCGCCGCGTGCATTCGTTTCAATCATGTGCAAGAGTTGTTCGGCTTCCAATTGTTAGCATACCAGGAACGGCGTTTTGGAACGATTCAGGATTGTCAGGGCGCAACAGTTACATTGATTCGCGGTGTTGGCGCCCCACGGATGGTATTCTGGCACGATTCAGGACCTTCAAGACGCAACAGTCAGGTTGATTCGTGGCGTCGAAGTTCTGCGAATGGTTGTTTGGCACGCTTCAGGGTTTCCGCACGGTTGTCCCCCAACGGGGCATTTCCATAAGTGGAAACGAAATTTATGTATAAGGGGCACGTGGATAAATAAGGACATTTGGAGTCAGGGTGTATTCCGTTATTGTTGATGAGTCTGGGGCTTACATTGGTCTTTTTTAAGGGAACGGAGAATGGCATAAACATAACATCTCGGAGGTCCGCGCGGATTTCTCGGATCGGCGCTGGACTCCCTTGGCGGCGCCTCCGGCGCCGCCCCTGGCGCGCTCCGCGCGCCAGGGAGGGGGGTCCAGCGCCGATTCGAGAAATCCGCGCGGACCTCCGAGTTTTGATGTTTACGTAAGTTTTCGTCTCCTTACTCCTCTTCCTCTTCCTTCCCCTCCTCCTTCTCCTCCTCCCTCCTCCTCCCTCCTCTCTCATCCCCCATCCCTCGTGCTCCCTCCTCCTTCTCCTCTCGCTCCCTCCTCCTCCCTCCTCCCTCCTTCGCCTCCTCTTCCTCCTCCTCCTCTTCCTCCCTCCGTCCTCCTCCCTCCTCCCTCCTCCTCCCTGGATCATCCAAGACGCACCTATCGCAGCCTCGTGCTCGGGCTGCCCTCGCTTTTTGGCGAGGGAGATGCGGGCCTGCCCGCCCCCCGGTGGCGGAGGCGTGCCTGACGCGCCCGGGCGCGGTCGCCATCAACTTCCTGTCGTGCTACGGGATCATGCCCGTCCTCGCCTACGCGATTGCTAAGGCCCTGATATAGGGGGCGCTCTTTCTTTCTCTCTCTCTCTCTTTCTCTCTCTCTTTATCTCTGTCTCCCTCTGCAGGGGAGCTGGAGAAAAAAAAGGAGGAGGAGGAGGTCCTAAGCGCGAGCCTCCGTAAGGTAATTCTGTGATCACTGCTGACCCAGAGAGGGAGAAAGGAGGAGAGAAGGAGGAGGAGTAAGAAGAAGAAAAAGCAAAATAAGAAAAAGAAGAAGAAGAAGAGCAGGACGTGGGAAGAGGAAGGATGGAGGAAGGAGAAGGGATGAAGGAGAAGGGAGGAGGGGGAGGAGGAGGGAGCAGGGAGGATGGAGGAACGGAGGACGGTGGACGGAGTAAGGAGGACGGAGGAAGGAGGACGGAGGGGGGAGGGGGGAGGAGGGAGGAGAGGGAGAAGGGAGGAGGGAGGGAGGAGGAGGAAGAGGAGGAGGAGGAGGAGGAAGAGGAGGAGAAGGAGGAGGAGAAGTAGGATTTGTTTCCCGAAATTGTCAGACAGTCGGTTGACTGGCGGGCGAGCGGCGCTGGCGTGAGCCCAGCCACTCGGGAGCCATGGCCGACGACTGCCATCGCGGGCTCCTTCTCGTAGGCGGCCTCGCAGTACTGCTGCTGGTCCTCTGCCAGCGTGTCTGCCTTGGCCGCTCCTCTGCTCCTCCGTGGCCCCGCAGGCGAACTGGCCCTCCGCTCGCTGCATTCTTTCCCAGGCCTCTCCTCGTGCTCCTCCTGCTCGGCGCGCCTCCACTCCGCCGCGGCCCTCGTGCTCCGCTTCGAGCCCCTCTTCTTCCGCGCGGCCTTCGGCGCGTGCTGGGACGCCTTCCCTGGCGGCCACCCGGCGCACGCCCGCACCGTCGTGCTGCTTATAGGTGGTTCTCCGCCGTCGCTCCCCACTGCCAGCGGCAGTGCCTCGTCTCGCGTCGGGGCCCGCAGACTGCACGTGCCACGTGCGAGAGCTTTCCCTTTGAGCACCATTCTTCGGCCCTCTCGCTCTCGTCGGTCGGCTCCTTCTCCGGCGTCATCGTCATGGCACCTCTGCGTCCGCCGACGCGCTGCCAGTGACTTCTGCCTGCTGCCGGTCGACCCCTTGCACCTCGCACAGTGTAGCATCTTTCCCTGCACGATCAGCTGGTGCGGGAATCTCCTCTTCAGCTCCTCGAAGTCCTCCTTGTTGGTGGTGTCGCGCGTCCGTTTCTTTTTGGCTTCATCTTTCTCTCCCCACGTCATCGGTTCCACCCTCTCGAACAGCTCCTTGTATGCCTGGCCGATCCGAGTTCGCACCAGATGTGAGGTCGCCCGTACCCAGTTGTAGCAGCCCATCTGTGCTTCCGAGATCTCGCGGGTGTTGACCGCCAGTCTTGCAATTAGTTTGCCCTTATGTGGCCGTGCCAAACTGCCATCGGCACGGTGGTTCTCGATGTGCCTGACGAGTATGTCAGCCTCCCCTCTATTGTCGATCATTTGCTTGATCTTCTTCCAGAGGTCCCCGTGCGCTTTCGTATAGCCCTTGATGGGGTACGCCTTGGCCTGCCAGCCCTTGCAAGACACCGGAATCCGTGTAGAGTGTCAGGTTGCTTTCGGTCGACTATAGGCAGTGTAGGGACGCCGTGATCTCCACCCTGTTGTTGGATTGCCTGGCCCCTGGATGTGGTCCCGAGACTTCAGCTGTGGTAGTCCATTGCCCGCTGACCTTCTTCACCGCGACCCAGCTCCATCGACATCTTCTGTAGCTGGAGTCGTCACCGTGTGCTCCTCCACTACCGCCGCCGCATGCTATGACATTGCCCCCCACCGCGTACAGCTTCTCGCCTTGGCTCTCGCTGGTGGTGCCTTCGGCTTTCCCCGTCCTCAGGTGCCTGCACTCCGTCTCGCACTCTGGTGGGGTAGTCCAAGCACGTGGTGTAGTACCTCTCAGCCAGAATGCTGCCCATTCGTCCGTACCTGGCTCGGCCTTCTGGATCAGGTTTTCCGTCTTCGGTAGATGTTGTGGTCGTTCTTGCAAGTGGGTCCTTCCCAGAGGATGTGGAAGTCGTCCGCGATCTCTCCGCACTCGTACGCGTTGAACGTGTCCCTGCCGAATTGGTCTTTTCTCTTCTGTGGTGGCCATGCTCCCGCGCACGTTGCCGTGAGCAGCGCTCCGATCATGTGGTGTTTCCCGTATTTCCGCAGCCGCTTCAGTTGCATCTTCAGGTCGTATGTGTCTGCCCCGTGTTGCAGCTTTGCTCCGTTGTGGTGTCGGCTTGCTTGCCGCCAGGCGTTCTTCCTGAGGTCTATGGTGATCGCATCCAGCAGCTCTGGGTCGCCGTTGCCATCGTCTGGCTGCAGCTGCCAGCCTTCTTCAGCGTCCTCCCAGAAGTCAGCCGGCTTCCCGTCCCAGTTGAGCTCCCAGGGCTGAAGGATGAGCGCTCCTGTCACCCCTCTCCGTTGCTGCCACCTCGTGCTCCGTGGTGCTCCCTGAAGCCTTTCTCGTATTCGCGGCCAGGCTCGTCGTATTCCTCCTCGAATGCCTGGCCCGCTGGCCCAGAAGTCGAACCACGCCTGGATTTGGTCCCTCGGGATGGTTATTCTTGGGTCCGTGCCCTTGAGGTCCAATATCGTGGTGAGGCATCTTCCTGGCCACGCTCTCCTGAGCCCTCTCGCGTATCTCATCCTGATGGCCGTGAGCTCTGAGGGGCTCGCTCCGTACGCCTTCGTGCCGCAGACGACCTGCGCCATGGGCCCCTGCTCGATGACCTGCCTCCTAGTCCTGACTTTACTTAGCTTCTTTGAGATGGCGTCGAACCTCCCGAGGCCGTTCTTCTTCCTTGTGATGTGCTTCGTCCGCCTCGTGCATGTCTTGCTTGCTCTGTCTAGTCCCAGGTATTCTGCCCTCCGTGGCTGCTGTGATTGTAACTCCCATGTCTTCGAGCCGTTTTGTCGCCCTCTTCGTCATTCCGATGTCCGTGCTGAACAGTATTGATTTGCCAGTCATGGCTAGGCCGTCCTGCTCCAGCTCTTTCGCCAGTTCATAGGTCGCCCTTACGATTCCGTCCTCCACCTTGGATGCGTTGCCCACCACGCGAAGCCCTATATCGTCGAGCCAGGTCCTGGGTTGCGCCATCTGCACCTTGCTGCGCATGGCCTTCACCACGTGGTAGATGAGCGTCCTCGCCCGGTTGTTGCTATGCCGCGACCCTGCCAGCAAGCTTCTTCGTGCGTAGATCGGCATGTTGCACGCGCTGTTCTCTTGAAGCATCCTTGGCGCGATGTGGACCAGCATGGCCATTGCTAGTACCCTCGGCGGGAAGCCATACTCCAACGCCCGTTCCGCCACCTTCTCGAAGACCAAGGAGTCGTAGAACCTTTTGACGTCTACCAGGGCATTGGCTGACTGCACCCCAAGCTCCTGCGAGGTCTCGTCTCCCACGGCTCTTGCCATTGCCTCCTTGAGGCAGGAGTTCCTTGCGACCGCGGCGTCAAAGTCCTCCTCCACGTCCTTGGCCCACTTCCTTATCTGATTCCTATTGAGCAGCTCCCACGTCCTTGCGAACCATGTGAGCAGCGCCAGCGCCCGATCTCCACTTCGAGTGAGCGCTGACTCGTCTAGCTTCTCCGCATCTTTCGGCTGCAGCATTGCAATCGCTTCGGGCGTTTGCCACGGCCACGCGACCTCTTCCTCACAGCTGTTGTACATGTCGATGTAGGCCGGTCTTCCGTGCTCTGGCAGCCTTCTCACGTCGTCCATGTTCATCATGTCTGTGCCCTTACCCTTGTTTTGGATGACTTTCATCGTAGCGTCGAACTCCTCTAAGCTCAATATTGGTGTAAGCTCCGCTTTTGCCCTTCTCCTGAGCGTCTTAATTACTGCTATCGCCTCCTCACGTGTTGCATTGTGACTCCATATCTCCTCAAAGTCCATGGCTTACAGGTCTACGCTCTCATCTGGGCTGGTGGCCTTTGAGTCGTTCCTGATGTACTCATCTTCATGTCTCCTCTTCGGCTTGGTTACCTTGCGTAGGGCTCCCGGTGCTTTCGCCTCCGCGCTGGCCAGCCAGATCGGGTACTCTTTCGCTCCTCTCCTGAAGTCTTTCTTCAGCGAGGTCTTCGCCTCCGGCTTAGCTTGCTTCACCATGCCCTCTAGCACTCCATCGTCTACCTTCTACATCTCCTTGATGCGTTGGCCCCAGATCTTCCTGTGTAACCTCGCCGTACTCGTAGCTGTTCGCCCTGCTGTTGGTACACCCTCCATCTTTAGCCTCCTGTAGCAGTCTTCCAGCTGCTGCAGCTGTAGTCTTCCTCGCCTCCTGCTACTCAGCTTGGCGTACGTGTCCAGCGCCGCTGCCATTCTGCTCCACCAATTCGTCCTCTTGTTGCTGTAGTGTACTCTCCTCGGGCCCGACTCTCTGACCTCCTTCTCTTTGAACTCGTACTCCTCGCCTCTTCCTCTGAACTTCTTCTGGTCCTCCTGTATGCCGCATGCCTCGCAGTAGAAGCACTCCAACGTGGAGACAAGGTGGTGGTACTTGTCGCCCAGCCTCCGAGCCTCCATTTCGGTGGCCTTGAACGCCGCCGACATGCATTTGTATCCTGGTGGGGCGTCCAGCTTCGTTGGGTGCATCCTCTCATAACGCTTGTCCCAGGAGTCGTTCATGATGAGCGTGTCGTTGGAGCTGGCCATGTTGGTCACGACCTGCTGTTCCTCCCCCAGCTCGCCATCGTTGGCCTCGATGTGGCACCATGGGTCGCAGCCTTGCACCTGTCCAGCGGCATGCCCCTCTGGGTCCTCTGCTCCGGCTGCGAGCGAGGCCCCCTGACTATGCCTCTCGCCGCGTTCGCGGGTCGCACGGCACCCGCGGGCTGGGTGCTCCCAGTCCTCCTTTTCGCTTTCCCGTTGGTGCTGCCCACTGTGGTCCGCGCTCTGGTACTAGCGAGGTCGTGTTGGCCGTGGCGTTCGTCGCAAAGTCCGCGTCATGCACACTGGGCTCGTCAGGGGCCTCCGCTTTGCTGCGAGGGTGGCACG